AGAGGAGCCATTTGGAAGGCTTCAACACCAGGATTTTTGGAACTTTCACTGAGTGACTGTATCATTTTTTGAAGGAAATTTTTTATGGTTGCACTGATTTTTATTTTGGACTATTTTATAATTTTTATTTTTGAACTTATTTCACTTGTTACATGCTTGAAGATGTTTATATGGAATAGGTAGCATATAATCCGTCACATAACTCAAGAAAAGTGTTTTGCTGGATCCCTGTGTGCACAGGAATCTGCTTAGCAATATGCTAAAAAAAAACTAAAACAAAAAAACCCAGTCTCCTGTCATGTAAACTAATCTGTATACCTTTTCTTTGAAACACACTGCATCAGAGCTGCATTTGCAACAGTCAGGTCTTTTCACAACACTATCCAGCGTCGTTGTGCAGCTAGCAAGCTTGGGACAGAAGTCTAACACAAAAAACAAAAAAGAAGAAGAATGGGCAGAAGCAACATGTCAGACAGCGTACCGCCTAAAAACAGGATGTGTCTAATATAAATAAAAGACACTTGACTGGTGTGTCCTTATGAGTAGAGAAACAATCTCTGGCAGTGATAACTGAAATGTATTTTTTTTTTTTACTAACCAAACTAACCATAAAAAATGTTTTGGAACTTTTAGGCACAGAAGATGAATGGGTTATACAGCCAACTACAAGAGAATGTGGATACTGGCAAACAAAAAGTGTGACCAGCATGTTTCTATAACCCCTCCCACTGCCAGAACGCTTCCGTTTTGTGCAGTGCTGAGAGCAAGACCATAAATGCAGAAGTTAAGAAAAAGATTTTACAGAAAATTAAAAAAAAATTAAAAATTGCCCTCGATCATTGAGGGTCATCAGATTCAGAGGCAGCTGGGGTGATGAAATCCAGTCCAACTGATGGGTGGGCTAAGAACAAACAAAACAGTAGCAGGCCTACTTAGCAGAACTGCTGGAAAGAAGAGCTAGCATCAGATAAGGCCGGAACATCCACCTGGTAAAACTTACGAAAATGTGTGAACAGTAGACCACGTGGTAGCTTTGCAAATCTGGGAAACAGATGCCTGATGCCAAAAAGCCCTCAGATCTAGTAGAGTGCACCTTGACAGAAAAGGGTGTAGAGTCTGTAGACCATAAGCATGAATGAGGATTTGTCTGAGCCACAGAGAAAAGCAGGAAGGACAAAGTCAGCATTTTGAAGCAGTAGCTGCTAGGTAAACAAGCACAGCCTGGACTACATGTAGGCAATGAAGGAAATCTCCTTCTGATGTACCGGGGGGGGGGGGGGGGGGGGCGGGCAGATGGACAGAAGTAGACAATCCTGGTTGGGGTGGAAGGCCAAACCAACTTTGGGGGGAAAAAAAAAAAAAGAAAAAAGGCAGCTCTTGGCAGTTGCCATTTTATTTAGCTTGCTGGAATTGGCATGGGACACATTGGACACCTTCAGTTGCCATTGTGCTGCGCTATGCTGGACCTCTGGTATTGTCTTTAACCCCTTGGCTACAAAGTCACATTTATAAACATCCTGGTATTTAAAAGGTTAAAAACAAGCTGTAGCAGCAGCAAGCTTGCAGCCTTTTTTTTTTTTTTACTAATGAACCTGGAAACTGAGAATTTAGTCACTTCTGGGTTCAGAGCAGTCATTACTCAGCTACTATGGCCAGGGAAGCTAATCAAGCACAATCTGTGCTTAATTACCTGCAGTGGAGGGCAGAATTGAACTTACAGGGACTAATAGATCCCTGATGTTTCCATAAAGAGAAGCAGTTACCTGTTTACGCCATCACACAGCAGTTAAAAAAAAAAAAAAAAAAAAAAAACTTGTTCTGTGCAAAGCTTTCCAAGTACATCTTTCTCTAAAAGCTAAATTATAAACTGATGTGGTTACCGTTTTTGTTTAGCTGCTGAACTATCACCGATATGTTCAAAGGGTGGCTTCTGAGGTGCTGAGAGAACCAAGTTTAAATCCCATGGAGCCAGAAGGTGGGCACTCAGGAGGAGTAACATGAGAGGCAACTTGTACAAATGTTTTAAAGAATCATGGAGCCAGAGAGGCCCCTGTTACTCAATATCTGGGCTTCAACAGCCATGCTGTTAAAGCCAGCGACTGTGCAGCAGGATAATAAACCAGTCCTTAGGACAGGTCTGGTTGACCCGATTAGGTCAGAGTACTGCTGGAGTCTGGATCTATAAGGACCACTGATATACCTTCTATCTCCATCCTGTGGAGCAGATGAGGAAAGAGTAGATAGAGTACTCTCACTCTCAGTGACATCATTGTGTATCTATAATCAGCATGCTAGAACAGTAGTTAAACCAAGCTCATAGCTGCTGCAGCTTTAAGCTTGATAGCAGCTTTAGGAGCAGGCAAGGGCCTTTTATTCCTATCAGAAGTAGGAATCTCTGCCACTGTGGTAGACGGGGCTTGTAATTTATTCATTCACAGATCTCTGTGTCCATTAGTTAGCTTAGTCCATTCTCCTTATGTTTGATAGGCTTCTATAGGCCCTGCTAGACAAAATGTTTTGGAAAGAGTCTCCAAACATTTTCTATAGGATCCTCAAACCCTGGCGCATCCTCTCCAGGCTTGGGCAGTGTTTCATTCAAGATTCTGTCGTATCAGCTGTAGAACAGCCTAAATCATAAAGTGACACCAAACTCCCAATTTGTTTTTTACATCAGTCATTCTAAGATATCATGAATACCATGGCTTTTTTAAGTCTCTTACAGTTTTCATGCTTTTTTTTTGTCCTGTGCATACTCCTGATCCTCCACTGATCCACCTCACTACTACTAGTGCAGAGCGAGCAATGCCATGGTTTCTGGTCACATTCTCCGCTCTATACACACTACAAACCCCATAGTGCTGAGTAAGTCTGAGGTAGATGTGTAGACCATTCTCAGGGGCAAGCACAAAAGGTTGGCTACATTCACATACACAGTGGGCATGGAGAACAAACCTAACCACCCTAGAACAGGAAGTCTGATGAAACAGAAATCGCAGCTACATTCTACTTATATTTAAACAAATTGCACTTATTTTACAAACAATCTGAGTTTAGTGTCACTTTAATAAAATCCTCCTCAACCAGGTATAGGATTACAAAACATTTGGGAGGTGTCAGTTTATTTAGTGTTGCAGTCAGTGTATAGGATGCCTCTTGTTTAGGCTCCGACATGTTGCACCAAGTAGGGACCATTTAACGAATACAAAAGAGCTGAAATGGCCGAATGTGAGCAGGTCACTGTAGGAGGCAGCAAGGACCAACACAGGAGAATCTGCATGTGTCTTAACAAGAAGCAGTGGTAAGAAGATATTCCTTCACACTGAAGGCAGAAAAAGCACTGAAAGCTGCTGACAAAACACTCAATTCCTCAGCATGTAACCCTTTCCATAATTTGGGGGGGGGGGGTGGTGGTTTGCGTGCAAATAAAGGTGCCCAATTGTTCTAACAAAGAGGTTCCTGCTGCTCTAACGCAGTACACAGTGGTCTGGAAAGCACCACAAGCAGAGCCCAGTGTTTGAAAGTCACATTGTTGGCAGGTCCAGCAATCTTCCAGTCCTGAAGGTCCAGGTACAGCTATTGCTGAGGATGCTCCAAGCTAGATAGCTGCATAAGGGGCCAGCTCATGAAGAATGTAGATGAAGTACGAATTAAACAAGAAAAAAAACTCATGGGGGGGGGGGGGGGGGGGCATTCACATCCATCCTCCTAGGACACTAGCAAAAACCTGGGGCATGCTGGGAGTGAGGTTTATACCAGGTTGTTCATTGGTGTGTATTTTTTTTTTGCTTGAATCCCTCCTGTTGGTGAGCGTATAACCCAACTGTCTTTAAGCTCTGTGTCCCTCAATGAAGGAGAATGTTAAAAAAACAAAACAAAAACAAAGCTCCGTACTATACCCCAATGTGGCGTTGCTTACCACAATGGAAACATCATCCTACTTATACAGCAACAAATTGGTGTAAGACTGTATGATAAACATGACCCTGGTTGGAATACATGGGAAATGCAGAAGCTACATTTAATACCATGTAACACAGTAATACTTGTTAATAACTAGAGCTTGATATCCTTGGCCTCTTATCTTCATTTATTTACAGTTTGCCATTCCTGACAGGGGCTATAACAGATATACATTTCCTGAATATATCCCAAAAGATTGGTCCCACAGCTGAAAAGCCCACATAAACTCCCACGTTCTCAACACATATGTAGTTTGTACAGGTGCATAAGTAAAATTACATGTCTTTTCACCTTGAATCACTTCACTATGGTTACATTACCCTAATTTAATAAATAGCACTGGCAATCTCCTGCATAGCAGCTTTTCCATACCCCTAGCTTTTATGAAGCACAGCTTGCAGCGTAATGCTCTTCTAGCAACCCACAAATCATGTGAGTAAAAGTTCAACAACTGCCGTTGCACAACGGCACCTTCTGAATCTACAGTATACTGGACATCGGAAACTTGCATCATACAACAGAATGAGAGCTGTGATCCTGTCACTCTACAGCACATTTAAATTGATATGTTCTGCCTGCACGGTGCGGCCATAAGGAGCAGAACACAGTGCTCCAATGTATGATATGACTTCATTGCTCAGACAGAGCCAGTGTAACACTACCCCATACACGGCGTCTATTACACATACTCCTATTATAACAGTCGGATAAAGATTGGGCCATATAATGGGAATGCTGGTATTACTTCTACCAGTTCATCATCATTAAGCTCCCCAGACATTATGGCAGTTACACTGGCAGCGTTTGTCAGATTTTAAACAAAAAAAAAAAAGTGACAAGAATAAGCTAATTAAAGCCCTTTCCCGTATCAGACACTGAGCAGATTACTTCATCTCAATACCATCAATGGTAAGGCATGCTGTTCGTCCAAATTCAGAAATATGTTCAGCAATTAAACCAGTTTATGACAAATACTGCATCTAGAGTCATTCATCTTGAAATCAGTGCAGTCCTCCAGATGGGAGAAAGATGCCCCATATTTAGTCCTCTTCCTCATCAATCTGGCCAGTAGGGTGCAGTAGAGACATTGGTGATACAAGTGTGTTTGTACCGCGAGAACTGCGCTCCTGTTCCATGTTAGATGATATGGAGGCCATGCTGAAATTCTGAACCAACGAAGGAGGGATACCAGAAGGCACGGTCAAAGTGTGGTTTGTGCCTTTGAAGGTAAATTCCTGATTGGGTAGAAGAGGCTTCAGGATGCTGACAAGGCAGAAGGCAGACCCACTCTTTGGAATAAAGTTTACTTTGTTCTTGTCTGGACAATAGAATGGTGGATTTCTTGCAGTGGCTTTGGCCTAGAATTAGATAAAAAGGCATTATCAAGAAGGACTAATAGATATGAACTGAAAAAATATGGTATTACTACTTCTATATTTAGTGCTACAGTCAGGATAAAAATTGCCAACAAACTTGCACACTTTATCAATTCTGTTTTATATTCTGTGAGATACAACACAACAAATTAATAATGAATGAATTCCTTCACAACATGTGAGAGCAAAAGAATCTTACTAAATGAAGATGATGGGCCATTTCGAAGCTGAATCGAGGTATACTATAATTAATACAACCTTGTCATCCGCCCACAGAAAAGGCTGTTTGATACAGATGTTAAACATTCATGCTATAGGCAAAACCCTGTAATAGAACATACTTCCTCCAAATATTGCTTCCAAAGCAAAACAGACAAAAGGGTATTTTTCAAGTTTTACTGTATATCCATTACTGGATTCTGTGCTTTGCCTTACCACTACCATTTAAGGTTCACTCCATCTCATAAGTTGGAACAATTTACTGCCATCACGAGTACTAGTTGATATATTAGGTACTTGGCAATTTGGTAGCTGTATACCTACCTGTTATTAGAATAAATATATACGAATAGATGGGAACTTCTGAATATATACAAGCATCTTGCTAGTGGTGTTATGTGCTCCATTTATAGGATTCTAGACACATTTTGACTGGTCCTTATGCATCCTACTTGAGCGATCTACATTTGAGCCCCCTACGTCCACCCCCCGAAGCTGGGTTTTCACTGGTTGCAGCTTCCTAATGTAAGCCCAATAACTTTTGAATATTCCATGTACATGTTATATTATTTTGCTATATGTAATTGTGTACATATTTCTCGTTTTTATATATAGTAGTACTGCTTCCCTTTACAAAAGAAGCCATGGTCCTGAAGAAGCCATATGCACAGGTGAAACGCGTTGACCGTTCCTAATTGTATAGTAACTTTTTTTTACAATAGTAATTATCCAATCTGGCTGTGTGTACTACACAACATGTAAAGGGTTAATGCCAGGAATCATCTCCCTTCTTTGACAGGGGGTCCTGGATCTTATCTTTTTTGTCATGGTCTATATGTAAATAAAATTGTAATTTTTTAATAGGAGAGTTTGGTCTCTCACTGCCTAAAATATCCCCCATTTTGGCTGTACAACCTTTGTCCGGCACTTTTTTTCTGTACCATTTAAGATTCAATTTCCAGCTCAAAATTCGGGACAGGCTCAACTGGTATCAGAAGCATGAGTCAAACTTTCAATCAGGGTGCCTTAAGGTTTTTTTCAGGGTGACTTGGCAAAATGGCTAAAAGTTTCCCAAAAATTCTATACAAGCCAGCAGGTGGATGAAGACTGCCTTTAGTTACACACAGCCACATGTTTTCATTGTGCACTGTTACAACCTTCCAGCTGCCAGCATTCTAACAACCAATGATGTCATTGCTTGATAAGGAGGACATTGGACGCCTGCACAGCAAGTTTGTTTGCCTCTCCCCTGCCCCTCTCTATCAACACTGGGGTCACATTTGCTGAATGAGGGAGAGAAACATTGCAATACTAGTCACTACCAACATGCAAAGTTGTATTTGCTTTGGAAGAATGCTTGAAGTAACTGTAGCTGCGTTTGTGCTCTTGCAGAATGAATGGTGTACGGTCCATGATACTTTTTTTTTTTTTTTTTTTTATTTGCACCAACATTAACATTTTCAGGACAAGCTTTTGGGGTGTGTCCCCTTTTTCCAGGTTGAAGCACTACTGCTTAGACAATAAGGGGAAACATCCAGAAAGCTTGTCTAAAAATGTGGTTAGTGCAAATAAAGAAAAGTATCAAGGACAATACTCGAGTGTTTTCTTTGGAAGAATAAATCACCAACGCTGGATGTCCTACATATGTGGATGCTGCTGCGATATGTAAAACTACTGGTTTCGTTTTTACATTTTAGAATGGAGTGCTTTTAAGATAAAAAAAAAAAATTTTAAAGGGTGTCTTTACTAAAGAAAGGTTGAGAAACACTGCATTAAATAATACATAATTCAGAGCCACCCAGGTGGTTTGTCTTCCACTTTTGTTCAGTAAGACCGCAAAACAAAACTTTAATACAAGAGGGCTTTGCATAGAAAGTTTATAGCATGAAATAAAACATCTGCTTGTCTGAGCTACTACCCAATGTCAGTTCCTGACTAACAAAAGGTACACCCAACACAAACAGTGCTCATGGACTCCCAACACAAACAGTGAGCAACTGCACCATTTTTTTTATAGTGTTCTATTAGCGCTCAGCCTTTCCAGGTAGCTGCAGCTCCCGACAGCACAAAGCAGGAGAGCCCTGAGCATTAACACATTTCACATTAATAGGTCTATGGACAACTGAGACTAATAATTAGGTCTGGCTACCAGATAAGATATGGACATAGGAATGGAGGCTTTATCCCACCGAAAAAGCTCGACAAAGCCTCCTGGCTCCAGAAAAAGACTTACGATTTTCGACAGAACAAAAAGTTAGTTTTTTTTACACATCGGCCATAAATCCTGGAGCCCCTCACCATGTGTATGCGAAAAGACTGTGTGACACATACACAATCCTGCCAGCCTGCGCCTCACAAATATAAACTAGCACTAACATACGATCTTATACAATATGCAGCTTTGTACATCCTGAGAGCCAAGTACAGTTCATGTTTTTGCCAAGGTCTGTAGGAGCCTACTAGAGAAGAAGTGGTGCTGGGTGAACCCTTTCAGGTTTTTGTTAATTCTTGTACTCTAAAGCAAACCTGTGCTATCACATGCAAAGCAATGCTACAGACTTTAATCCCCCCTACCCAGCTGCAAACTAGAACATTTCATTTACTAGCCAGTAGTTCTAGGAAACCAACCTTATTTAAGCTGAAACTTCACTCTCTCGATCAACACTGACAAGTTTTAATCCTCATGCTGTTAGCAGCGTATATCATATTAACTTGTTTGTACATTTCTTTGGTTACTTCCTGGTTTCTTGCCCAGGCAAATGATGTCATACATCCCAGGAGTCTTCCGGAGGGGAGGAGAGTTTTCTAAGCACACCCTCCTGCTTGTATTCCTAAGGGCAGATGGATTCCTGGAAGTCATTGCTACATGAATCATCTGCCCTTACTCAAAATGGCCACAGCCAGAAATGCTAGGGGCTGCTTTTCAAAGTGATTTCTCAGCAAAATAAAAGCATGGAGACATGTATTGGTTGGGGATTTTGTTCTGAATATTACAAATGAATTAATGCAGTGCACAGATGTGGTGTTGTACCACTGTAAGCACAATTTTACTCTAGTCTAGTCATAGATCTTAGAACTCTTCCCCCCCCCCCCCCCCATGTGACAGCACTGAACCAATCATAATGCACCAATGATGTCAAATAAGAACAAGACGAGCAGGGCCCTCCTATCCCTCTTGTATTGAACTGTATTGTCTCCCATTATATTGTAAAGCGCTGAGCAAACTGTTGGCGCTATATAAATCCTGTATAATAATAACAGCAGCAAGACTGATCATCACCTGCTCATCACTACTAATTATTTTTATTTGTTTTTGCCACAGCTCCAGTCAGCCTTCATGAGCAAAGAAAACACAAGCATGTGCTGCAGAGGATGGGAGTAAAGTAATCCAGTTTTATTGCCCTGCATGGCCAAAGCACAGATCTACTTTAAATCAGTGGTTTGCGCTCAAGAACCCCCAACAGGCCATGTTTTCAGGATTTCCTTCACCTTGCACAGGTGCTTTAAATCATGGTCAATTGCTTGGGATTTTAATGAAAGCTACTTTACCCAAGGAAAGTTCTTTCTCAAACAGCTTAAGCACTGCTTTAAAATAATTAACCTTTCCAGTAAAACAAGATATACAGCAGCATACCTGATCTTACATTGGGTACATAGGCAATTCTAAATTTAGACTGTCATTTTGTTACATTAAGCTTTCGAAATTCCCCCTCTCCTTCATTTCTGCCTGGAGGGTGGCCACATTCTCTTTCAGGGTCCCCAGGAGCCCCAGTGTAACCACCCTTACGTGTGCACACCCAGGACTACATTCTAACCCATAAACAGGCAGCCTCACAGTCCTGAACCCCAAGCCATCCTACCCCCAGCTCCTCATTCAAGGTACCTGATTGACAGTTTCTCTCTAGACAGTGCTGTCTGCTCAGCATGCACAGAGTAAAAGTGTACAATCCTTTCAAAAAACTTTATTCCATGAACTAGAGTAGCAAATCTGAGCAAGATGTTAAATCTGCAATTTATTTTTGTAGGCAGGATTGTGTAAAAATAGCCCTTAAACACTGCACAGGTCTAATCATCAGCTACAGATGGTATACTGTATACATACAGAAGACCGACAGTAAACAGCAATTTATGAAACTAGGTAACAGGGATAATTTTGTTTACACAGACAGGCTTCAGTTTTATCACTTTCTTTGCACCAGGTTACAAAAATTAGTCTCTCAAGTCATCAAAAAGAAAACCTCAGGTCAGAAAAGTTACTAGGTGGGGCCAAATCAAGTCTCTCTCCAGGCTTACACTGGCAACCTGCCCTCCTGAAAATAGCAGCTGATTAGCTATCATGCCTATGCTTTAGCTCCAGTACTTTGAATCACTGATCTGCAACAAGCATAGAGGTAAGGAATGCTGGCTTTAAATGACATTCATGTTTACTCCAGGTCTGTGACTTAAAAGTGATAAGGGCTGACACAGAGCGGGCAACCAGCCAATGGTGTGATGACAGGTACACTTACGAGCCTTCTTCAAACACTTTCACCTTCTCGCAGCCCTCAGGCGGCTCTCTCTTGAACATGTAGCTGTTATTTGGTTTCGGAGATGTAGCATACTTGGGAAGAGGAGAATGATTTCCATTTTCTACAGGAAAAAATGATTTACTGCATGTTATAAACTTACAATGAATGAAAAAGAAGTGAGAGCAATAGACTTACAATGTAAATAAAAATACAGTGGACAATCAATCTTTGAAATAATTGCATTTAACACGTCACCACATTTACTATGCATTCATTCTTGTCACCTTTAATTCCTAAAATTTCTATCAGCCCAATTTTAAAATTAAAAATGTAACTAGTCATGAAATAAATATGCAAAATAAAAATCACAAACAATATGTGCATTGCCTTCCTGAGCTCCATCAGAAACTGTCAGCTTTCATTTTGCTTTTTTGGAACAAGTATTCCGCCATTAGATTTAGAACACTACATGCTTGTTCTGAATTAGCACAAAATTTATTGAGGACAAAAGAAGCATGGCAGACAGCTAGAATTTTAAGGAGGAGAGGTCCTAAAAAGGCTAAAGATTTCATGTACGGTTGGTGACATCTATTTTTTTTTTATATATATTAACTTGGTTTAGGATTTGGAACAAAGAAAACTATGCAAGCATGACGTGAAAAGTTGCTGCAGTATCAAAAGTGTATTTTTACACTCGAGTCTATTCCTATAGTTAAACACCTTCCAATTATAATAAAGCAAAAGCATATTTTGTCCATAACTTATTTCAAAAATACCACTTTCAATACTAGTGATTATTAGCAGCGCATAATAAATCACTAGTATTGAAAGTGGAATTTTTTAAATAAGTTTTGACATAGAATTTAAAGTGGCAGCTAACTGGATAATAATAATATTTAAAAGTATCATTTGGCGCAATTTAGTGATTAGTACATTTCTTGAATCACTCCATAAAATAATATTTTGTACATACTTGGCAGTCATTTCAATATTTGACTATGACTCACAATTCAACAAAACTGAATGAATTAAATATAGATATTTGTAGATTAGTCACTACAAAACTTTTATTGACAACTTAGTCTTTATATTTTAAACTTTTGACAATAAGTCAGTCACACACAAGTATGTTTTTTTGGTCCCTGAGAGTTAGCCGACCAACTTTTTGTGAGTAGGTGCAGAAAAGTACAATTATTGTGCAGCACTGCAATAATGACCGCCTCTATCTAAATGTAGAATTACAAAGCTACATTGCAACACATTGGAAGATTAAAAGATTACTAACAGAACGGTCATCTCATCTACCACTGAATTACTGTTCTTTTAAAGCAGGGTAGGCATGAAAGACACATCCTTTGGTTGCCTGTATACCATATCAGCTCATCTGCATAATCTCAGTTATTAACTACAGAAATGCTAACTGACTTGATCACCAATAGGCCACTTTTTTTATACTATGGTATTGCTCCCTTGATGGCCAAACCAGCAAGATATTGATGGATACTTGGCCTGAGAGAATGATGCACATTAAATGTGGTGTCAGTTTCACCTCAGTGATCGGGTCACTAGTGGCAAAACTTGGAGCTTGGCTCAAAAGGAACTCATTGAAGCAGGAGCAATAAAAAAAAAAGTCAGTACAAAAAGGTAACATTATGGTAAATCTCCAAGCACCACTCATTACTAAAGCTGGCCTTAGATGGGTCATACATGCACTATGAGCATATTCACGCATTTTGGACCCCAAACACTTCAGCAGGAGCTCCTATAAACATGAGATATGCACACTTTTGCCCCTCTAAACCTGCTCTCCTCCACTTGCCCAGCCAAAATGCCTAAATCTTGATATTTGTGTAAAAATGCCTTAAAAAAAAAGCAGGTTTCAAAATCACCAGGAATACTCTGCTCATGTTCTGGATGTAGGCTTCCAATCTAAATGTACAGTCTTCTAGACCTAGTGGAGTGTAGATGTAGTGCAAGGGTCTGCTTGACTAGGAACAAATGGATTGGATGGTTTAGTTATATCCTCCTATTATATAGCTCTGGTAAATTTAACACCAATTGTCTTCAGATTGTAACGTGCATGGAGAACATAAAGGATAAGTAGAAAACCATTATACCTTTGTCTCTGGGATCTGCCAGTGTGTCATCGGTTGGACATGGCTTTCCTCATTACAATCATTCAATATGGTAATGAACGAAGCTGGAGATATGGATTGTGCACGGCTGCTATTGTTACTCCGATCATTTCCAGGCGTTTGCGTATCTACACTTCGAAGAGCAAGAGGTGGCGGAGCACGGTGTCCATCTGGGATATCTTGTGGCTATAAAAGAAACAAACAAACATACAGACAAAAAACAATTATGCAGATATTTCTTCTTCACCATGTTAGATAATCTAAAATAACACTGAACACTAGAGGACCAATTCACCAGAAAACCAGGGGTCAAACCTGATGTACAGTATTTCACTAGAGTTTACAAAAGAACACAATTAAGATGAGGAAAATACAAAGGCTGCCACCGATTTAAAAAAAAAAAAAAAAACTAAAAAAAAAAAAAAACTAGGTGTCTGCTTTAGTGTTAATACTTTGAGTCATAGAACTCAAGTAAATATGCAGAGAAATAGCGCTGTCTTCACTTGTTGCACATTCGTTCCAAGTCAATGACTCAACTACTATGGCCATCGATGTCAAACACCTTACAAATTAATGACGCTAGGCTGACTGGTCTGTAGTTACCTGGCATACATCTAGATCCTTTTTTGAATATTAGAACCACACATTTGCCAGTCGATCGGTACCATTCCGTTAAGTAAGGCTTAAGTAATCTTGATTAGAAGTACTTGAAATTGTGAAGAACTCTACCAAACATACAGTACTATGCAAAAGTCTTAGTCAAATAATGCTGTAAATGAAGAATGCTTTCAGAAATAGAAGTGTTAGTGTATTTATTACAAAAATGGAAAGTAAATGAACAGAAGAGAAATCTACATTCAAATCAATATTTGGTGTGACCACCCTTTGCCTTCAAAACAGCATCAATTCTTCTAGGTACACTTGCACAGTTTTTGAAGGAACTCGCCAGGTATGTTGTTCCAAACATCCTGGAAACTAACCACAGATCTTCGGTAGATGGAGGTTGCCTCAAATCCTTCTGTCTCTTCATGTAATCCCAGACTCGAAGATGTCTAGATCAGGGCTCTGTGGGAGCCAAACCATCACCTCCAGGATTCCTTCTTTATGTTCTTTATGCTGAAAATAGTTCTTAATGACATTGGCTGTATGTTTGGGGTCATTGTCCTACTGTAGAATGAATTTGGGGCCAAACGCCTCCCTGATGGCATGGAATAATGGATAAATATATGACTGTATTTCTCAGCATTGAGAACACCAATGAACCGGACCAAATCTCCAACTCCATTTGCAGAAATGCAACCCTAATCTTGCAAGAAATCTCCACCATGCTTCACTGTTTCCTGCAAACACTCATTGTAACGCTCTCCAGACCTTCACAAACTGCCTTTTGCTATTTAAAAATATTGACTCATCAGTCCAAGCACCTGCTGCCATTTTTCTGCACCCAGTTCCTAGGTTTTATATTTTAAACATAGGAAGAATCAGCTCGAGCTGAGGACACCGCTAGATCCCTGGACAGGTAAGTGCTCTAAAATTAATAGTCAGCAGCTACAGTATATGTAGCTGCGGCGAGCTGAGCCGGAAGTCGGTACCTGTCAAAACCAGGTACTTGCTCCTCCCCCAAAAGGTGCCAAATGTGGCAGGGGAGGAGGCATAGAAGCAGAGCTTCCACTTTTGGGTGGAACTCCGCTTTAAGAACTATCCTCAGTGTAAAGAGCAAGGAGTCTAAAAGTGATGGTGTGGCCCCAATAGAGCCCTGATCTCAACATAGAGTCTGTCTGGGATTACATAAAAAGACAGAAGGTTTTGAGGCAGCCTACATCGACAGAAGATCTGTAGTTAGTTCACCAAGATGTTTGAAACAACCTACCTGGAGAGTTCCTTCAAAATCTATGTGCAAGTGTACCTAAAAGAAATGTTGTTTTGAAGGCAAATGGTGGTCACACCAAATATTGACTTGGATTCATCTTCTGTTCATTTACTTTCCATTTTGTTAAATCAATAAAAATAAACTATTATTACTTCTAGTTCTGAATGCATTCTTAATTTTTTCCACACCTAAGACTTTCACACAGTGCTACTATATTATATACACACACATAAAATGTTTCTTACAAAACTTCTGTGAGTGTAAAAGATGTCACTTTGTGGACTTCATACTGTTAACATACACTGCCTCAAGTTTTTAACCACTTCCAGACCGGACATTTTTACCCCCTTCCTGACCAGGGCAATTTTCAGCTTTCAGCGCTATCACACTGTGAATGATAATTGCACGGTCATGCAACACTGTACCCATATGAATTTTTTACCATTTTTTTGAGACAGATAAAGCTTTATTTTGGTGGTATTTATTCACCGCTGGGATTTTTATTTTTTTTGCTATGTAAATGAAAATGTCCCAAAATTTTGAAAAAAAAGTGTTTTTTTTTTTTTTAATAAAATTTTGCAAATAAATAATATTTCATCATAAATTTTGGCCAAAGTACAGTCACCCTAGCAGTACAGTGTCACCATGGTGACACTGTACTACTTGTGGGGGGTTATGAAGATTTTTTTTTTTGTTTTACACAGATTGCTTTTACACCCATATAGGATGTAAAAGCAATCCTTTCTCTTTGTCTGCATTCTTGCAGTCATTGAGAAGTACTGAGTGAGCTGTGATTGGTCACAGCTTGTCACATGGTACAAGGCTGTTGTGAATAGCCTTGTACCATGTGACCTCCGTTATCATTCACAGATTTCACACGTAGTAAGCAATGATGTCACACGTGACATCTTGCTTACTACTTTGCATGTGATCATGGATTGGCCAATCAGTGATCACATGATCGGGACCTCGTACAGAGGTCCCGTTCGACGATCGGTGTTTCACTGTGTCCGGAGGACACAGCGGGCACCGGATCGCGGTGCTGCGCGCTCCCAGGGAGCGCGCACAAGCAGGGTGCGGGGAGGCCGTTTATAAACGGCCACCCGACCCTGCACTGCCACCGTTATATACAACAGCCGGTCGGAAAGTGGTTAAAAAAACGTAGGACCAAAGCCTTTTTGACCTCACTTCTCTTGGGAGTAACAGAGTGCACATTTGTTCTCCTGTGACCCAGAGTCAGCTAAAAGTGGCCAATGCCCGCTATCAGTTGATGTGCCAGTGCTAATTCAGGATCTGTAAGAACAAAATTGTCAGGATCAACCAGATTGATCAGCAGCTGACTCAGCCTCTCAATGTGCCACTGAGAGCTACAACCAGCTGCTTCAGCCCCCCTTCCAGCCCAGAGATTTAGTGAGTGCTGAAGATCAGAGTGCAGAGCGGTGACCGACAGTCACCACTCTCCGTGAAACAAGAATTGAGTGATCAGCAGTTATGCGATTGCTCGTTTCTCAAGTTTTACAGCAGATGTGGGACAGTTGCAGCATCACATTGATGCTGCATCATGGAGGGTGTGTGTGTGTTTTCTTCTTCAATCCCACACTACTCCTTGAAGGAATAAAGTATGACGTGAAATCCTTAGCAATCACAGGCCTCGGCATTGATGTGTGATTTACAGTATGGTAGTTACATGATTTACTGTATGGCTGTTACAATGACCACTATCTTGCCACCCCTTCCCCGCTCACATAATACAATAGATGAAAAAGGTTTTCAGCAATACATACACAATTCTCTACATATGAAATGTATCATTAGGGGCCAGTCAGTCTAGTCTAGGAGTCTATGACAGAACTGCTCTAGTATACTTGAAAAACAGCATATTTTAAAACAAGGAGCTGTTTAGGCATCACACACAGCTAAAAGCAGAGCTTACACTGATTAAACAGGATCAGGAGAAGTTTGTAAATCTGAAAACTCTGACTGTAAACAGCCAACTCCCTGCTCACTATGAACAAGCATGCACATGCTAGAGTACTGGCATACATAGGAACAATAATTCACATCCCAGCATAAATAGACGATAGACTGAAGTTGTGAACACCATTTTACTTTCTTGAAAACAATTGTAGTTTTTCTCTAAAATTCCAGTGGCTTTATGTCAAGTGGTTATTTCTGATACAAATAGTGTTAGTGCTTAGTTACGTTGATCTTTAAAAAGAAGTCAGAGCAGATCGATGAGAGCTACCTCTGCTAACTCTTGCTGACAACCTGGCACCAATGCTCAATAAAATCACTGCTCCTGAACAAGCACAAAGCCAGGGACGTGTTGGGACACTTGCCATACCTTTATTTGTTCCGAGTAATTGTCGCACCAAGTAGAGAAGTAAACAGAAGGTCTGGAATCAGCTCCAGCATGTGCCCAGTTGCCATGCTGGCTCTTTAGCTTCATCCACTAAGGTGAAACATGTTGACAGCTGGTGAGGTGAGTAGTTCCTACCCTGAAGGCCAGGGGGTCAGCATGACCACCAGGCATCTAACATGGTCAGAAAACATTCACTATTTGATGGGCATTTCTCTTATAATAGGTTCACTTTAAGAAATATTAAAAAAAAAAAAAAAAAAAATTAAAAAAGTACCCAGTTGTAACTTCAGCAATCCTAATAGTTTTTTTGTCCTTTTAAAAGAAACCTGCAGTAAGGAAAATGAGCAAGTTGCTTTAGTTGGCCACTTCTGAAGTTATGAGTTACCTGGCTGTAATGCTGATCTTCAGTGTTCAAGGCTTGGTTCACATATGCATGTTTTAAAACACATGCAGTTCTTTTGATTTCAGTAGAAAATATAAGCTCAATATGTAAAATGCAGCCTTAGACAGTGACCAGGCATGAAGATCTGGAATTCTTCTGAGCTCACTTTGACTTCACAGGATGCATTGTCAGCATCAGACCCAGAAAATACTGAGGCCAACAAAAATCCAGAAACTTAACATTTTTAGCAGATTCTACAGATTTTTTTTTTTTCTATACCAAAGAACATTTGATATTAGAGGTCACCTCCAGAATTAGTCCTGGAATTAATGTAACACAAGAAAAGGAAAATTTAAAATAAATTAACCATGTAAAAGTATTGCAGGCTTTGTAACAAAGCAAAAAAACGGAACTTCATTTGTGTCCTATTTAGGCCAGATTCACATTGGTGTACTGAAGTTGCACAAAGCACATATTGCACAGTGGTGCCATTCATTCTGAATGGTACAATGCACCATGCGGTTAAACATCTGTGGCAGCGCACTAATGTGTATTGCAATGCACTGTCAATATACTACATTCAGCTTTTTTCGTGGATTCTGAGCATTAGGCAGCCCAGTCAAATGTATAGGATACCTTAATGCAAAGCATACTAAAGTGCAGCATAATGCAGCACAATACTGTAAATGGGCTCTTAAACATATTCAAGTGAATGTACAGGATATCAAAGTAAAATATGTAAACCCAACATTTCATATTGCTGATATGTGCCTGCTATACCATGTATTTGTATTAATATGTATCCTGTTCTCTTTGTATTACTTCTTTTGTGCAAAACACCTGGGGTTCATAAGAGTACAGCATGGTCAGTTTTCTGGCTGTGCTGGGGACTTAGCCTGCTCTCCTCCAATGATAAGACTTCTGCTGACACGTTGCCCCACCTGCACAGCCATTCACTGGGAAGGTCAACATGTTGCCGTTTCTCCTCCCTGAGAGCCTTATGGGACAGAGGGTAAGTGATCACTTATAAAAAGAAGGGGGAAGGAATATATAATTTTTTTTATATGTATACATAAATGTTTTACCTTTCATTTCTATTAAAATGGATTGTTACAAGGTGAGGGTTTACATATACTTTAAATTCACTCTGCATAACTATGCCGAAAAGCTGCATGACTGAACCCAGAAAGGGCCTGCTTTCCATACCCTCTCTTATAAATTAGAGACAGGTATATTTTAAACAGACAGCAGTTAAAGATGAAGAAATGTGCCTTGACCACCTGATAGTTAAAGTGGAACTTCACTCTCTCTCTACCAACATTGACTATTTTTAATCCTTATAATGCTAGCATTAGTAAATAGATAGGAAACTATCATATTTACTTGCTTTAAACTTTTTATTAAACATATCTTCATTTACTTCCTGCTTTCGTGTCTAGGCAAATTATGTCATACATCCCAGGACTCTTCAGGAGAAGATTAGGGGTATTCTCAGCTAAGCACGCCCTTCTGTCTACATGCCTGTGCTAAGGGCAGATGGATTCCAGGAAGTAAATGTACACAAGTCATCTGCCCTTACTCAAGATGACCACGGCCAGAATTGCTGGGGGGCTGTTTTTCAAAGTGATTTATCAGCAAGATAAAGCATGGGGACAAGAATGGATTGGGGAGTTTGCTCTGAATATTAAAAATGAATTGAATAGCGTTTTTGGTTTGCGGTGCTCAGATGCATTGTAGTTCTGCTTCAACATTCACAACTTTCAGTTTTATTATTACAGTGGTCTTCTGGAGGCTGAACAGCCATAGTCCAATGTTAACACAGCAACCCATAGGATTTGCAGATACGCATGTTTTTACATAAAAAGATCAATTCACTAAGAAATCCAAAGATTTATTCATCACTAGCTTTTAAAGTTACAGAACACTCTGAATTAGACTCTCATATTTGCTTCCCTTTTGGAAATATACTTTTTGATTTTATAAGTGCAAAAATACTGGTTAATCCTGCCAGAAATCATGTGAGCTAATGAGAAGTCTGGGTTGTTTGCAATCCATCAAAAAAGCAGTGACGTGTTATGAACTCCAGAGCCAAAAATACACCATGTTGTCATGTTCAAGATAGTAGGAGCACACCATTTCTAATACATTAACAGTTATTTTATTTTGCCTTGCTACACCTCTTAATCACCCAAGTTTTTATTTATACAAAATTCTAAAATCAAGATCTTTATACCAAAGAGGAGCTAGCAGAAAGGGAAGGGTGCCATTCCATTTCCTGTGATCGATTTAGCTGTGCATGTTGTGAGTAGACCCAAATAGCACATGAAACAATTACACAGGCCAAACTACTCACAGCATAGCAGTAAATGACTCAATAGAAGTGGTGATGAGTAACCTCAATAGCACCACATACTGTCTGCAAAAGATAAAATAAAAAATAGAATTTGAATATTTAATAGCTAAAAAAAAAAATGCTTACTTTTTAAAGTCCCAAAAAATGAAAATATATACAAAAATCCGAAAATAGTACCTCCAGCTTTGAAAAAAATTTGGAAATGCCTGCTGTGCACACTTCTGGCCAAGCAAGCATTACAGACCAATGTCTTTATGAAATAAACCATAACACCACTTGTATGTTCCTCAGGGTTTAGAGAAAGTAATGTTCCTGTCAAATATAAGTAGATTTGCACATAAGCAGACATACAAGGGCATATTCTAGATGTGTGCCAGTGATTGGCCCTATTATAAATACAGGGCTAATCTGTTTTATATTGATCTCATGATGTTAACAAAATGTTACTTATTCTGGGACAGGTTAGAAAATAAAATTAAAAAAAAAAAAAAAAAAAGTGGCTGCCATGGGAAACAATTCGATAAACAAAATCTGCAGTATCCTGCAGTAGTACATACTAAAGTAGAAAGAATATGACTGTATATAAATGAAGAGTATCTTCTTTTCATCAAAAAGACTTAGAAATTAAAATGGCAAATGGAAAACTGAAAGACTACACAAAGTAAACTTTCCTCCTTTAGAAGACATTAGAAGAAAAATGTACAATTTAGGTAGGTGGTTGATTTGATCATTTTAAATTAATACTGTGTTAGGCTTGCAAGTTGCAAATGTTAAAGAGAATCCATAGAATTTAACAATTACCACAAAGAGCACCGTTCAATGCATGTTTATTTATGCAACACTTCAATGGAATATATGCAGCAAATAAGGATTATGGGAAAATGGAACATGAGTGTATTCCCCAGGAAATAAAAGCTCATCAACAAGAAGCACTGCCTAAAGCAGTATGTGCAAGGAAATACTACATTGCTAAAAATGGAGAAGACATTTAAGACAAAGGCACTGTTGGCATAGTAGGATTCAATAACTCAGTTTAAAGATGGATGTAAAAAATAAAATCCATTTTTAACAATTCGCGCATAAATGAGACTATTTGGATCCATAGTTTGGAATTTTGCAACAGGATTCCTTTTCTATAAATCAGACCTCAGTTGTGCATGTACATCTCTGGCTGCCGATGTCAACTGCAGCTACCCTGTGTTTTGATTCCCCTCAGAAATCCTTATTCAACACTGCCGAACACCAAAGAAAAATTTTTTAAAATACTGTACTAGAATCTATACACATTCTATTCAGAATGCAAGACATGTAGTATTTATACAAAGTCTTTTGGGGGGGGGGTTTTTTTTGTGGAAAAGCAGATTCTCTTTAAGACTTGCACAACACAAATAATGGGTAAACCAAGTATTATATGAAATGTCAAATACAAATGTAGAAAGCTCTGCAATACTTATGTTTTAAAACTATAAGGTAATGAATACCGAATGAATATTCAACAGCACTCTGTTCTTAAACAAAAAACAAATAGAATTAAGAAAACCACACACAGCAAAAACTTACCTCCGGATGCAGATGCTGGAAAATCATTGTAATGTTCCCATTGACATCAGGAAGGCCTGAGCATTCTCCATGCTGGGAAACCACAAGGATATATGCTTCAAGATGAATATTGGAGAAACCCACCCTCCTTAATAAACCCATAATATGGAGGGTGAAATCTTAAAAAAATAAAAATGCTTCTTGATTCCATGTGCAGCGAAGAAAAATGAAAAGAGCCTTCCCAATGGTAAAACAAGTTACCATCAAGAAACCAATTACTGGGATATGGCTCCAAAGTGGGAAAAAAAAAAGATTTGCACTTACCATGAGCTGTTCTTCCTTCTCTCCAGTTTCTTTAATGATAATCTCGACCTCTTGGTTCAGCCCCTCCACACTGTTCCGAAATCTGGACCCAGATGACTTTGTAATGGGTATAGTCATTGGGGTGAGTACATTCTTGGACATAGAGGTCTAGGGAGAATAATCGTATTTTTCTTTAGGACACTACACTCAAACAATTATTGCAGTATAAAAGCATACAACCGACATGAGGGAAATTAATTCCACAGATTATAAAAATGTCACACTACAAAAGGATATAACATCTAGTATAGGATACCAATATTTATTAATATTGGACATCATCGTGAAAACTTCCAGTGAAAAAAGCCAAAACCCCCAATGTGTAATCCTCCCAACCCCTCCCAATTCCCCCACCCCCAAAAGACCCACCCAGCACCTATCCAACCCAGTAAAAACCTCTACCCCCTCAGATATAAAAGCTACAAAAGTCCCTATTGTCCCACTATGGTAAAAGACCACTGTTCAGATATCACAAAGTATAAGAGGAAATCTCTGTAAATGGACAGAAGTACAAGAAGAAGACAGTCTCCTAAAACACAGAAAATTCTTCGGGTAAGTAAATGTAATCCACTCAAGTCAAAAAAACGCTACGTCTTCCATAGTAGCCGGGTCCAGCCTACTAATGTGAATTTGCACTGTGATAGTATATAGCAACTGACTGATAAAGTATGACAGAGGCTGGACTATGACAGGCAAACTTGGCATAACTGGATACATATCTCACCACATCTTGCCGATAAAGTTCGCTTTCCTCCATTTGGAAATCACTGTGAGTGGTTCCAATACAGGCTAGGCGGTAAGCAGCAGCGTATCCAGCCATGTCATAGCTTGCCAGTCACACCAACATGCACTCCATGGTGACATCAGGACTGCCTATGCGTTTCGCCCCAGCCACTGTCTGGGGCATTCCTCAGGGCGTAGCTGGGGTTTGGTCAGGGGCTTCTATATACAGTCAGGTCCATAAATATTGGGACATCAAAACAATTCTAACATTTTTGGCTCTATACACCACCACAATGGATTTGAAATATAAAGGAACCAGATGTGTATTAACTGCAGACTGTCAGCTTTAATTTGAGAGTATTTACAGCCAAATCAGGTGAACGGTGTAGGAATTACAACAGTTTACATATGTGCCTCCCAATTGTTAAGGGACCAAAAGTAATGGGACAGAATAATAATCATAAATCAAACTTTCACTTTTTAATACTTGGTTGCAAATCCTTTGCAGTCAATTACAGCCTGAAGTCTGGAGCCCATAGACAACACCAGATGCTGGGTTTCATCCCTGGTGATGCTCTGCCAGGCCTCTACTGCAACTGTCTTCAGTTCCTGCTTGTTCTTGGGGCATTTTCCCTTCAGCAAGTGAAATGCATGCTCAAATCGGATTCAGGTCAGGTGATTGACATGGCCATTGCATAACATTCCACTTCTTTCCCTTAAAAAACTCTTTGGTTGCTTTTGCAGTCTGCTTTGGGTCATTGTCCATTTGCACTGTTAAGCAGCGTCCAATGAGTTCTGAAGCATTTGGCTGAATATGAGCAGATATTATTGCCCGAAACACTTCAGAATTCATCCTGCTGCTTTTGTCAGCAGTCACATAATCAATAAATACAAGAGAACCAGTTCCATTGGCAGCCATACATGCCCACGCCATGACACTACCACCACCATGCTTCACTGATGAGGTGCTATGCTTAGGATCATGAGCAGTTCCTTTCCTTCTCCATACTCTCTCTTCCCATCACTCTGGTACAAGTTGATCTTGGTCTCATCTGTCCATAGGATGTTGTTCCAGAACTGTGAAGGCTTTTTTAGATGTCGTTTGGCAAACTCTAATCTGGCCTTCCTGTTTTTGAGGCTCACCAATGGTTTACATCTTGTGGTGAACCCTCTGTATTCACTCTGGTGAAGTCTTCTCTTGATTGTTGACTTTGACACACATACACCTACCTCCAGGAGAGTGTTCTTGATCTGGCCAACTGTTGTGAAGGGTGTTTTCTTTACCAGGGAAAGAATTCTTCCATCATCCACCACAGTTGTTTTCCGTGGTCTTCCAGGTCTTTTGGTGTTGCTGAGCTCACCGGTGCGTTCCTTCTTTTTAAGGATGTTCCAAACAGTTGTTTTGGCCACGCCAAATGTTTTTGCTTTCTCTCTGATGGGTTTGTTTGTTTTTTTCAGCCTAATGATGGCTTGCTTCACAGACAGTGACAGCTCTTTGGATCTCATCTTGAGAGTTGACAGCAACAGATTCCAAATGCAAATAGCATACTTGAAATTAACTCTGGACCTTTTATCTGCTGTAATTGGGATAATGAGGGAATAACACACACCTGGCCATGGAACAGCTGAGAAGCCAATTGTCCCATTACTTTTGGTCCCTTGACAAGTGGGAGGCACATATGCAAACTGTTGTAATTCCTACACCGTTCACCTGATTTGGATGTAAATACCCTCAAATTAAAGCTGACAGTCTGCAGTTAAAGCACATCTTGTTCGTTTCATTTCAAATCCATTGTGGTGGTGTATAGAGCCAAAAATTTTAAAATTGTGTCGATGTCCTAATATTTATGGACCTGACTGTATATTAACAGGTTAACACAATGGTTCGCCTCTTAAAGCCACAAGCTCAAGGTAATTTATTTCAAGGCACAGTGCAGGTGCTATTCCCTACCAGAAACATATGTCCACTTTCAATAAAGGGGGGTTAGAGTGTAGACTCACTAACTAAATCTTGATATATACCAGAGCTAGGGGCACCTCCCGCATATATTCTTTATGTCTATGAAAAGCAGTTAAGGAAAGCATTTATTTGGTACATACGCCTACCCTGCGAGTCCTGAAATTGTTGAACCTTCTCCACATATTTGTATACTGAGCAATGTCCACATGCACAAACATCCCTTTGAAAAATATATATATATATATATATATATATATATATATATATATATATATGAGGCTGCATGTGTAATGGCTACCTTTGGGATGAATTTAGGGAGGAGACTGCGAGCCAGGCCTGTGCCTGACCTCACAAAAACGCTTCTGGAAGAATGGTCAAACATTCCTATACACACACTCCTAAACCTTGTGGACAGCCTTCCCAGAAGAGTTGACACTGTTACAGCTGCAAAACGTGTGCGCCAACTCAATATTGAACCCTATGGACTAAGACTGGGATGCCATTAAAGTTCATGTGAGTGTAAAGGTAGGTGTCCTGGTGAGAAACCGTCTCCCTCAGACTTCAAAATGGTGAGAAAGTGCCCCCCTCAGACTTCAATTGGCGAAAGCGCCACACAAAATATCTAGTCTGTCGTGCAAATCTGAGTTTCAAAACAAATCCAGAATCGCATATGTGTGATCCAGGGCAGCTCCATTCACACCTGGGCATTTTGGGATCACAGCAGAATCACCGATTGCAAAAATGCAAGTTCAGGTGCCATTATTTTTCATGCCAAAACTGCACCACGTTTTAGGCACTTTAAGTCCCAGGTGCTTACAATCCACAATACACTAAAAAAAAAAAACCTGACTCCTAACTTTTTAGATGGCTCCGAGATTCAAAGCTAATTTGTCAAGCACCTAATCATTTACCCCCAAAACAATCATCTCATTAGCTACTAAGGAGGGAATGCAGGCACTGTCACTGTAAGCCTGAAATATCGGCTGATATGCACAAAATCATGAGGATTTAATAAAGACACTTAAAAAGCTGCAAAGACAAAAAATAATATCCAAAGCCAAGACCCTTGTCTGGCAAAGCTACAGTTTTGAAAGTTTGTGGCAATAAATTTGTTTGCGAACAAAAATCTTATCTGATCCAAAGAAAGAGTGTTTAATTAATTTATAATTTTGTTATCTCATTAAAAGGAGAGTGCCAGTGTCACAGATTGGGCTTTATGCGAGTAGCAGCTGGTAACCTGCATCTGGGGCTTATGTATACAGTAAATCTGTGGCACCCAGCAGGGAATAAGCGCTTTCAGAATGCAGAGCAGAAAAGACTTAGCATCTCTTGGGGCCCACTATTTCTGTTTGGGGAAGATAAAAATGCAGTTCTGATGTTTAATATATTAGCTCATTCTGAAGCACGACGACACAAAAGGCCGTCTGAATATCAACTGCAAAATCACTTAGTTGATGAACAAAAAATAGTGATGAGTTATATCCATGTTCTATTAAAGTGGTTGTAAACCCCCCCCCAAAAAAAAAAAAAAAAAAAAAAAAAAAAAAAAAATCTAAATTAAACTGAACATTGCATCTAACTCAGCAGTGCAGGAGAACTCTACGGTCCTCAGTTAGGCCAGGAAAAGAGCATCCTGTCATCTGCAATCCTCTCTGCTCTTCTACAGTAAAAAAATGCAGACACCCGAGTAAAAAAGGTGTCAGGCATTAGTAACTCAGAAGTCCATTTGCTGATTTACACTTCCAACATGTAGATAGAAAACTGGAATGCTGTTCTCTGCCCAGGAGAGAATGATGCTTTCTTCGTTCAGGGCTCTCTGACTTCTGGTACCCCCCTTGGTAAATTATGTAGGTCAAGCCGTGGCTCTGTCAGACTGCACCCTGACTGGGTGTCCAGGTAGGAGAGGGGTACAGTATAGCAGAGTCAGTCTCTTCTGGCTATCGTTTCAGAATGCTGAAGGGGAGCATCGCATCCTGTGGAGACCAGGTTCCCTGGACAGTCAGTGAATTGTAGACTGCACTCAGCCCATCAGGCTTGCATCCATCGTTACTACATTTCCAGAGAAGGAAAGAATGATTTCCTTTATTCTAGGGATAAGTTGGAATATAACCATGTCAGGGAGTCTTGTGCCTGGCTGGGCAGCAGTAGAGGTTGATCCAGAGAAAGGATCTGCTTGTCCCACGTCATGGTACATTGTTAATCTGCAAGGGTATAGAGTGGAACTGAGCAAAGAAGACTGTCTCAAATGAGAGTACCATTTGGCCCAAATTTTCATGCAGAATCAAGTTGTGGGATGCCAGGTTGATCCGAGAGTTTGGCAGTTGGATCTTAGAGAAGGAATCTTCTAACGAAGGAAATATTTGTTTGCCTGGGCTGTACCCAATATCAGTCCCAAATATTCCAGACAATGGAAAGGCTGGAGGGCAGACTTCTTGAAGTTAAGCCAACCAAAAGTTTGAAGAACTGGACTGTACTTTGAATGTTAGAAAACAGGAGCATTTCTGAGGAATCGCAGAAGGACGCCTAGGTACTCCATGACAGATGCCTTGAAATCATAGCAGAGCCAGTACTTTTGTGAAGACTCTTGCTGCAGAGAAGAGTCCAGATGGTAAAGTGTCACATTGAAAATGTTGGTCTCCTACAGCAATGTGTAGGAAAGCATTGGTGTGAGGGAATGCTAGGAATATGAAGATAGGTATTTTTAGATGCCACTGATGCCAGAGATATCCCTAATATGATGACAGATTTTGCAGACTTCATGTGGAATTTGGGGACATGCAGATATCTTGTTGACCCAGGGCTTTCCACAAATCTGCCTGTCATTGAGGTGAAGCTGGTAGATTGGAGATAGGAATCAAGGAAGGGGCAGGAATCTATTTTTGCAGCTCCAAAAAGCTTCATGTTGGACCCACAAGTCCGAGATGGATCTGATTCCCCCCCCCCCCCCCCCCCCCCCCCCCCCCCCCCCACCCCCCCCCCCCCCCCCCCCCCCCCGAGAGTGCTCAGTCATCCTGAGCAGAATTTCTGTGTAGGCTTGGAAGGTTAGGGTGTCCAAAACTTGCAACAAAATGATGGAATCACTCTCTAGTTGAGAGGATGCCTGAGTAGAACAAAAGTTATTCCAGTTAACTGTTCGACAAACGGACATGGCCACAGTGGTCTGTAGTAAGATAGGTCCAGAGAGAGTTAAAGGTTGCCTTTAGTAGGATTTCTAAGCATCTATCAACAGAACCCTTGGAGGAAAAACCTTAACAGACCCGCAAAATGCTTGTTCAGAACGGAAATAGCAGGACCCACTACTGGAGGAGGCCATTTGTTCATAACTTCCTTTTCTCTAAAATGTAATTCCACAGAGTTTTGAGGAAGGAATACGCTTTCAGGGGATCCCCTGAGGGGTAAATCCAAAAATCCAAAATGGATACCTCCTGAGAGGGTATTTTGTGTCTTCAAGGAAGAAGCTACTATAACCCAGACACTCACCAATGTCCTGTTGCTTTGTTTGTGGAAGGTAGGCAGTTGGGTGGTCAGCCAATGCTCAGGAAATGGCAGGAAGAAGCGCGTCAACTTGAAATAGTATTGGAACGTCACCACCCAAGCAGCAACACTGGGTTGGAGCACCCCAAAATTTGAAACCATAAAATGTTCCCTGCCACCTACATGGTAGAGACTTCTAAAGAGGGATAATACACTAAGTGAATAGCACCCCACATGTAAAAACAAGTAATATAGGGAAAACCAGTCTTGCCTTATCCATGCAGCACCCATTACAGTATACATACCCCACAAAGGGGTTTTCAGGGTCTAATTGCCATAGAAATGGACTTCAGCCCTGGACGCTGCAGCTAACTACACTCATTACACGTGCCAAGGTGAGCACCACACACAGGATCCAGTGATGGAAGAAAATATTACATCCTAGCCTTGCTGCTGCAGTGTGTAGGTATAATTCCCAAAATGTACATTGAGGATCACTGATCTGGAAACTGTTAGTGAGACCAAAGGCAGCAAGCAGTTGGATCTTGATCATGTCAGCCAAAGTAGTGAAGAAAACTAAGCAGCCATGGTTTACGACTACAAGGCCTGTGTCCTGTACTGTACAATTAAAGTGATTCTAAAGGTTCCAGGATTTTTACCTTCATTCATTGTATCCACGAATGTAAAAAAACCTTCTGTGTTTAGCAGCCCCCCCTCCCCCCAAACACTTCCCTGAGCCCCAGCCCGATTCAGCGATATCCACGGGGACTCTCACTCCTGATTGACTGAGCTAGTAGTGGGAGCAATTGACTCCTGCTGCTGCCTTGGGACCCTCCCATCAAAGCCAGTAAGCCAATCAGGAGAAGGAGGTGGCGGGGTCGGGCCACAACTTTGTGTGTGAATGGACATGTAGTGCCACAGCTCGGAAGCACACCTGCTCATTTGCCCCCTAGCAAGCTGTTTGCTATGGGGGCAGCCAACAGGATGGAGGGGCCAGGAGCGCTGGCGGGGGACCCGAGAAAAGAAGGATCCAGGCTGCTCTGTGTAAAACCACTGCAGACAGCAGGCAAGTAGGACATGCTTTTTTAAAAAAAATTTAATAACCGACTTTAGTATTACTTTAAGATAAGCATTTTTACTTAACTAATCTTCTGATCCCACACACTCTTCTGGTTTGTATGACAGGTCCCTGCAGCCTCTTCTCCCTTTAGTGGTTGGTTGTCCCCCCGTCATCACCAGAGAAGGATCAGGTAAGTATAGTGCTTTTCGCAGTGTTTAAGCCTTGCAGCTTCTCTGCAAGGGAACATTTTTGTTCTCCCCAAAGATGGACTTTAGCCATTTTTCATCCTATGCTCAGCTCTACAGGGCCCATATGTGTCAGGTTTAAAAGCAGCAATACTTAGTAAAACATCTGTTTTGGGTTGGTGTTTTAACACTTTCAGACAGAACGCATAATTGTTAACATCATATAATTTCATGTTCTTAAAAGTTACCTTTCCATTTTAATCTGTAACTATAAATTTCTGCAACAGTCGCTTTTTTCCAAAATGGCAACCTGGAGGCATTATATACACCATTGTACAAAATGCACAGAGAAATGCTTTATCTAGCTTGTATGGTTGCCTCACAGGTTTTCTTAAGTCTACAATGACATACAAGCCATATCTTATGCAATCCCTGTATTAGGAGTTTCAGACAGCCGAGGTGGCGATAATGAACACTGACCCTCCCATTCAGGAATCCGTCTGGAAAGCACAAAGTGAATCAAGCAGGCATTTCTTTGAAACAGAAAAAAAAGGTAGGGATCTGCAACGGAGTTTTAAAAACTCTTGCAATGTACAAAGATCACATTGAGGTGACTGTTCTTTTATAACTCAACAAAACCGAGTTATAATTTAGGCTGCAGGAATAAATTGCATCACTTAACATGCACCATATGACATTTTACAATTAAGAGTCTTTGCCAATGAAATGATTAAGTCTTAAAAGCAAACGTGCTTTGCCAGGCAGAGCAAAGCAAAAGGTTAATTTAACTAGCCTATTTCCCAGCTGCTCATACTTCTTCTATTCCTTTGTTCCTCTGCTCCATTTCAGGAGCAAAGAAAGAAAGTCCTGTGTAAGCTCAGAGCTGCTCCTTTGGGGTTTACATGGGGCTGAGGACTCCTCACATTGCAATTTGGTACTGCAGGAATAATCACCAACATCACATGAAGTAACATGCTGCTCTATAGCATGAAGTACAAAATATTTTATTCAATCCTAGCAGCTTACTGCAGCAGCAATGGAGTGAAAAAAAGTGTAGGGAAAAAAATATGCACCCAGCACAGGTAAATACAGATTTTCTTTATTACTATTAACCACTTCAATACAGGGCACTTTCACCCCTTTCCTCCCGAAGCCAATTTTCAGCTTTCGCACTTTGAATGAGAATTGTGTGATCATGCAACACTGTACCCATATGACATGTTTTCTTTTTTTTCTTAGATAGGTAGGTGCTTTCTTGTGGTGGTATTTAATTACCACTGGGTTTTCTTTTTTTGTTAAAACAATAAAAACAAACTTTTCTTCGTTTCTGTTATAAATTTTAGCAAATAAGTAATTTTTCTTCTTCACTGATGGGCTGCACTGATGATCAGTGCCCTGATTGTCAGTGTAACCAAAGCACTGACAGCCTTGCAGGTATTGGTTGTCTCTTCACACAGACACAGCATGTGAGGAAAAGACTGCCAAAAACTAATAAGTCTGTTTACAAGTGATCAGCTGTGACTGGACACAGCTGATCACATAGTAAATGGCCGCTTTTATTGGCCCTTTAATCTGTGATCAGCTGTGTCCAGAAAACATAGCGGTAACAGGGCGCACGCAATGCGCGTTTTCGGAGGAGGTCTATAGATGCCCTCCCAGAACAAGACAACCGTCCTGTAGCCATCTTTTGGCTAAAGTGTGGTATTAAAGTGGTTAAGCGTCCAGAACAAATTAAAATGTAACCTCAAATTATAATAAGATAAACACATACAAAAGTAAAAGCCTAATTAAAATGGATGAGATGACTAAAGAGGCAAAAAAAAAAAAAAACAAAAAAAACCAAAACACTTATTTATGAAGGTTGGCCACAGAATAGCAGATGGCTCCCTGAACATGAAGGTCTACAAAAAGCACATAATACACACACAGTATACCTACATAGAAAAGTGAAGAATCTGATTGACAAATTTTCCCAAAAGGTCAGAAAATCTGCACTTCTAAGTGCCTGAAGTGCTCATTATAGCCCAATTGCAAACAGGGCTTTAAACTGAATAATTACGTCTGATTATTGGACAGTGTTTGACCAGTCAATGACTTTTACGATGTGTTTCACCTTCTTATAATGAATGTAAAAGTAATTTTCCAATTACCCCTCTCAAATCTTACTGGCCAGCCTAACTCCTTACCTGGTTAATTGCTGTGTGGTTGCCATGGAAGGGAGACTGCCTATCCTTATCCCGATGATGTCTGCTGCTGTGTTTACTTCTTTGAAGTTGCTGACGTAATTTAGCAATCTAAGGATGAAACATTATAGTAATCAGTAATGTAAACAAGGTGCATACACAATGTAATTAAAAAGTACTGTTCTTTGTTTTAAACATTAAAAGTACAATTACCGCCTTCAAATAGGGACAAACCAAGCAATTCAAAGCCCAATTACATTTCTGAAGTGGCATACCAATTAATGTAACCCTATTATGACAGAAAACTGGTGGCTGCCATTGCGTACCTTCTTCTGAAAATGCTATCTGAAAGCCTGCTATGTTTAAAGGCACACCATCAGAAGAGATTACTGGAGGCTGCCATTATTGAACTCCCCTTTGAGAGTGCTAGTTGCTTGGGTGGCATTTTGATACGGACTTCAAAGCTGTCCAGGTTGCTGACCAGGAAAAAGTGTAGTGATAAGTAGTTCTGACACTTCTTCGCAACACTATTTAATATAAATACACATTTACATGATTGTGGTTGAAACATACTGAAGTCAAATACAACCATGCATTTAGCACTTTTAAAAGGCGGCCTGCAATGGCATCCCTCAAACAGCTATCATTAAAAGGTGTTCCTATAACCACTTGCCCCAAATGGATGTATCCGTACATCCTCTGGTTTAAGTGATTCTACCCGACTCATGACTGCAGATGCAATCCTGACCCTCGCATCTTTTTTTATAGCCAGCGATGCTGAATAATGTAAAAGTGTGGTGGAAGGTGGCGTGTTAAGTCATGTGTTAACATGTGTTGCATCAAGGCAGGCTATTCATTGTGTGCACTTGTCTCAATACACACACTAAGTGTCATTTCTGTCTGTTGCCTTGGCTCTCTGCATGAGTCACTTCTAACAAGTTTTTCTGACACCAATAAAAAGATGAAGGGAGGGAGTGCCAACACACAGCCTGTGACTGACAGCCTCAGCTCTGTTCCAGCCTGCTGTGTGAAGAGGGTGTGTCCCCCTCCCATCCAATCATCTCTCACTGAGCTCTGCAGAGTGAGACTTCAGATCCCTGCCGCATCGCAGCATGAACACCACTAGACCTCTTAATGTATGATGTGATATATGGCACAAAGCTGTCAGTAGCAGATCCTTTAAGTCCTGTAATTTGCAAGGTGGGACCTCCATTGATCAGAGTTTTTTCCAGCAGATCCCACAGATGCTTGATGGAATGAGATCTGGTGAATTTAAAAGTCAAGTCAACACATGAAACTCATTGTTTTCCTCAAACCTTTCTTGAAACATTTCTGCAGAGTGGCAGGGCACACTATCCTGCTGAAAGAGGCAAATGGGAATAACGTTTCCACGAAGAAGTGTACTTGTCAGCAACAACGTTCAGGTAGGTGGTAGATATCAAAGTATATGTGGAAGTACATCCACATGAATGGCAGAACCAAGGTTTACCAGCATAACCTTGCCAGAAGCATCACACTGCCTCCGCCGGGTTGTCTTCATCCTCATGCCATCTCTTCCCCAGGTAAGCAATGCACACGCACTGGGCCAACCATATGATGTAAAAGAAAATCAGGACATATCAGACCAAACCACCTTCTTCCATTGCACTGTGTTCCAGTTCTGATGCTCATTGCATTGTAGGTGCTTCTGGCTGTGGAAACAGCCAGACCTCCAAATACTATGTTGGTAGGATCTCTAACTTTGGGCCCTAGCATGGGCATCCTGACCAGTCTGTGGCTTTGTAGCCCCATACAAACTGCAATGCCAATATTTTTCTGTGTTCCCATAACATAATTTTGTTGAAGTTCTTCGAAGGACACAGGAATTCCAAAGGGGAAGGCAACAACCATTGAGGTCTAACAGATGTGGAGATCTGAAGGAATCCATGCTTGAATCAGGCTAAATGAAGAAAGGGCCAAGCAAAATATGGAAATTACCATGACCACAGGGAAGGCACCGATTATCAACCTGGTGCTTCAGACCAGGAGAGACCAACACCAATAAGGGGATCGGTTACCTTGAGGAATAAAAAGTCTCAAACCAGTGAAGGCAGGAGGGCCAACCACCAAAAAAAAAAATGCAGATGGAGCAAACACTACCCAAATGGGAGAAAAAAAAACAAAAAAACAAAAGAACTAAAAACGATTAAAATGTTTTCTGGGTCAAGATTCAGAACAAAATCCCCAACAGAAAGTTTGAACAGACATAACCGGTCCAATGAAAATCCCATTTGGTCAACTGTAGGAAAAACAAAACAAACCTAGAATACCTAACCCTTGACCTCAATGAAAAGGAAATTTGGACAGGCATAGAGGAGTGTCTCAAGCCGTGTACACAATGAGAAAATCGGACAAAGAAAAAAAAAAAAAAAAAAAAAACGTGCATGCTCAAAAAACAAAAGAATACATTACAATACATCACTTCCAAAGTTGTATTTGGTCTTACCAGAAATTTTGTAACCTGTTCGTTTTCGATATGAAAGTGGCATGCAAAAAAAAAATAATTCATCCAATATTCTCATGGTGTATACTAGGACCATAAATTAGTACTTTTTTTTGGTTCAACCACAGTATGTGGATGTGGGAGAGGGGTGAGCGACACTCCTTGCTGAGGTATTGTGTTCTCACAGCGAGGAAACTTCCCCACCATCAAAATACACTGGTCAGTGCTGCTGGCTATCAGGCAGGGAAAATCCAACAGGCTGGATGTACAGAAGTAGATCAGATGCATTTTGGTCCATGTATGGTCGGCTTAAGGTAAAAACCAGTTCATCAACAGGAGGCTTAAAGTTTAACACACCTAACCTTTGACTACAGGGAAAAGGAGCTTTCACCTTTGAAAATCAGGTCTCCACCTGCACAGACACTTCATTCACAAGTGATCTGTGAATGAATAAACTACAAGTCCCGTCTTCTACTCTGGCAAACAGACTTGCAGCTCTCAAAAGAATACAGGTATAGTAATCACTGCACTAGTAGTCCATTGACACTCCCTACAGCTCTGCAACTGAAAATCCATACCTATGCAGAGGTAGAGAGGAAGCTGCTGCAGGAGCCTAGCATTGCACCTACAATCCTAAGGTCTCCTTCCAATCAGCACCCAGAGGTAATCCTGGGATGTGATCACCACACTGAAACCTGCCTAATCACTTGCCACCACTATATTTCAGGAATCATCCAACCTACCCCTGAAAAATAGCAGCATATGCAGCTGAAGAGCGAGGAGGGAAGGCTACACATAAGGAACGGGTCAAAAAGTCCATAGGGTATGAATTCTGTGAGCATGGATTTGAACTGAACAGCCCCACTCAATGACGACCCAAGGCTACCAATGCTAGATACCTGGAAATAAATCTTTAGCGGAGGTTCGCAGTTTGATTGGACATTTAGTACTGCTCGAACTGATAGAATCCAGGAAATATACACTTTTCATGGAAGGCCTTCCAAAAGTTTCACAACTGTGATGCCAGAAAAAGGCACTAGGGCGAGTGCCGTGAGGAAGGACTGATCCCTGTCAACCTTGTAGGTTAAGAAGTCTCTTAGGAGAAGGACAGGACTAAGGAGAGTCAAGCATCGCAAAGAGTGCAATGAGAGGGCAAAGGACTCCCTAATTAGGGAGGTGTGCGAGCTCAAGTGGGATGCCAAACCCAAAGATAGGGATCCTACCAACGTACGATTTGGAGGTCCAATGGTGTGGGGAACCCGAACAAACCTGGAAAGATGCCAAATGGAGTGCAGTAACACCAAAAGGCTGAGGAGGGGCTGGAAGAGGTGCCTAACTCAGAAGATCCTACCAATTTTCCATTCCACTAAAGAATTACTTAAAATACCAGGTATAGAGGGAAAGGGCTGTGCAGCTGTAAGAAATCTAAAACTCCTAGGTCTAGAACAGCAGGCTGATCCTCTAAATGCAGGCTAGAACACGCAAACAGTTGAAGTGGTGCTGCTACCTTCCTTCAAATCTCTGCTCCACCCGGAGCTCAGACTGAATGGCTGCTAATACCTCTGTGTACTGTGAACCACTGGAGGGACAGTCAGGAAAACAGCTAAATGGCAATATCCTGTATTGAAATGACATGAAACAGCTGTAAAACAGCCAATGCATTTTGGCCATTAGCTGAAACGATTTCGCTGTTTTATCTCATTGCAATAAAAGATATTGCCATTTGGCATTTACCCGATTGCCAAAAGTTCCTCCAGTGGTTCAGGGCAGAACATACTGCATAACCCAGGTTAGTAACTGACGCTTGTAATTCTGATTCAGGTAGCTCAAAAGTCACCGAAGAAAAAAAACTTAAAAAAAAAAAAAAAAAAAAAAAAAGCCCTATCTACGGCAAACTGAGCATCTTGATCAAAGCCGGAGAGAAAAGAAAGTACTAGCAAAAATAATTAGATTTGCCAGCAGAGCTTAAGTAAAGATGTTCAGTCTCTTTGAAAACTAGCAAAAACTATAGGCTTAGCTGGCAGAGGTGAGGTTATATGGATGCTGGGTTATATGGATGCTGGCTTCAACTTATTTGTTCACTAGAATCCCAACCTCTTGTAGGTGGCAACATAAGCCAAATGTTTAAGAATTTCTGTGTCCTCAGAAGAAATAAAGAATAATTTTTTGTACATCAAGTTTTAAACATTTTCAACACTTATAATGCCCAGGATATGAAGTATTTGCCCATCAACAACTATAATTACGAGTCAATATTAATACCAACTCAGCAGTTAACAGAAAATGCATTAATTTAGAATAATGAACAGAATTCATTAAGCATTCTCAACACTCAATCTCAGAAGAACATATGACCACACAAGAATTGCTATATCAATGCAAAGTGCCTTCCCCCCATTCAGCACACAGCAGCTGCCTAACCTCTTTCAGCTGCTCGTTGCTGCCCCAGGATGCAGATCGCTTGTGAGAGCTTTTCTTCTTTTCAGCATACTCTTCAGCCCAAGCACTTTCTGTCTGTTTGGTATAAAAAAAAAGGAAGTATATTCTGCATTATAATTGCATATACATCATTTAATTAGGCCATGCATAGCAGAAGATTTAGTGAGGCATGATTTAATTGGTATGCCGAATACAAACGACTTGTGCAGCAGTGATTTGCGGCATGTCACTTAAACAAAACATGAATACAACAAATGAAATTAAATCATAGGCTTGATGCACATATTAGTGCAACTATTGTCTTCAATCAAGCCTTTGAAGCAAAATCTTGTACTTTACCTATACAGGAGTAAAAACGGGTTCACTTTATGCATCCTCTCCCCAGTACTCACCTGCTGGGAGCAGAAAAAGTCACTCTAAATGCTTTACATCCCGGTCACATCAAAGCCGATTTTGAAAGCGTGCGAACTTACAGTGAACTCACACGATATCAAAATCTGGTGACCTGCCGATTTCATTGCGATTTGCAAGACATCGACACAGATGTCTATGCAAATCACAACAAAAGTAGTGCATGCACTACTTTAGAAATCGGTGCAGCTCTGACCAAGTTAGAACTGAAACCGATATGACCACTCTAATAGCGGACAATAGGGTGCGACTTGGCATACGATTTGCAAATCGCATGCCAAGTCGCACCCGATGTGACCGGAGGCTAAGAGCCGCTCTGCAGTAAAGTGGGGGTGGGGGGAATAGAATAAAATCTGCTGATTTGCACTGCATGCGAACAAACACATGCTTCTATGCTTCTAAAGTGTATTTCCACCTTTGCAGTCTAATTTGGGAAATTCCTATTATATGTTTATGTGTTCACACAGCATACTTTAAAAGTGGTAGTAAACTACTTACTTTTTTTTTTTTTTTTTTTTTTTTTTTTTTTTAACATTTACCTACAGGTAAGCTTATAATAAAGCTTACCTGTAGGTAAAAAAGTAATATCTCCTAAACGTCCACCATTTAGGAGATATTCACTCTTTTTGAGAGCCAGCACATGCGCTCTGAAGGAACGACATACCCGTGCCATTCCTTCAGAGTACTGTGCAGTGGCCCGAGACCCCTGCACATATGCGCGGGAGTGACATCATCACGGCTCAGCCAGTCAGACAGCTGGAGCTCACAAACTTGGAAGGAAGACCGGGTGAAGATGAAGCCTCTACAGTGGTGACAGCAAGCCACTGGAGGGCTTTGTTTTAAGGTACACTATATTGCCAAAAGTATTGGGACATCTGCCTTTAAACAAACAAACTTTAATGGCATCCCAGTCTTAGTCCGTAGGGTTCAATATTGAGTTGGCCCACCCTTTGCAGCTATAACAGCTTCAACTCTTCTGGAAAGGCTGTCCACAAGGTTTAGCAGTGTCTATGAGAATGTTCGATCATTCTTCCAGAAGGGCATTTGTGAGGTCAGGCACTGATGTCAGACGGGAAAGCCTGGCTCATAGTCTCCGCTATAATTCATCCCAAAGGTGTTCTATCAGGTTAAGGTTGGGACTCTGCAGGCCAGTCAAGTTCCTCCACCCCAAACTTGCTCATCCATGTCTTTATGGACCTTGCATTGTGCACTGGTGCGCAGTCATGTTGGAAAAGGAAGGGGCCATCCCCAAACTGTTCCCACAAAGTTGGGAGCATGAAATTGTCCAAAATGTCTTGGTATGGTGACGCCTTAAGAGTTCCCTTCACTGGAACCAAGGAGCCAAGTCCAACCCCTGAAAAACAACCCAACACCAGAATTTCACCTCCACCAAACTTTACACCTGGCACAACGCAGTCAGGCAAGTACCGTTCTCCTGGCAACCGCCAAACCCAGACACATCCATCAGATTGCCAGACAGAGAAGCGCGATTCCTCACTCCAGAGAACACGTCTCCACTACTCTAGAGTCCAGTGGCGGTGTGCTTTATACCACTGCATCCAACCCTTTGCATTGCTCTTGGTAATGCAAGGCTTAGATGCAGCTGCTCCATGAAGTTCTCTATGCACTGTTGTTGTGCTAATCTTAAGACCACATGAAGTTTGGAGGTCTTTAGCTATGGACTCTGCACAGTTTGACTTCTGCGCACTGTGTGGTTCAGCATGCACAGACCCCACTCTGTCATTTTACGTGACCTACCACTTTGTGGCTGAGTTGCTGTTCCCAGTTGACTGTGGAATATTTAGCAGCAAGGAAATTTCACGAATGGACTTATTGCACAGGTGGCAACCTATCACGGTACCACACTTGAATTCACTGAGCTCCTGAGAGTGATCCATTCTTTCACAAATGTATGTAGAAGCAGTCTGCATGCCTAGGTGCTTGATTTTATACACCTGTGACCATGGAGGTGATTGGAACACCTGAATCCAATGATTTGGAGGGGTATCCCAATACTTTTGGCAATATAGTGCAAGTCTTTCATAATGTGAAAGTATGTGATGCAGAGTGCAGAATTATTCACAAAACTCTATAAGCTGCTTGCATTGCATAGTAATAGTTTGCAATATGCAATTGGGGGACAATTTTTGCATCAAAATACAATGTACCCTCCAAGCCATGAACTCTTTAACCCTTTGTTGGGGCAGACAGTATGCACATCTAGTTTATGACTGATAATGAAGATCTCCAGCATAGTACATATGTTAATTATGGTAAACAAATCTCCAGCACATTTCTAAAAGCAGTATTAAGCTCAAAACCAAAAATTTAATATATTGCATCTTACCGGTCATTAGATGTGGTGGCTGCATCGTTTTTCTTTTTTTAGGCTTTTTGCCCCCTCTGTTTTCACATAGTTACCTAGCTAGTACCACACCACCTGTATTAAAGTACACCCACTCTATGGATGAAGGAGCACGGGGGACACCATTGGACAGCAGCATTGTCAGTCTGGGAGAATGGAGTGTTAGGATGAACAAGCAGCTTTAAATACGCTAACAAACTGAAGCCAAACTCCAGCTCACACTGCAGTTACACAAGCAGTTATAGATGTTTTTCCTTTGGGCATAAAGTTTTACATGAATAAAAGCTGATCATTGTATGCACCACAGCCAGCGTTAAATAGTTTGTCTCATCTCTGTAACTGATACAATCTGCTGGAGAGTTTGTTCTTTTGAAAAACCAGACTTCCAGGCTGGATCACCAGGTGAAAATAGAATAAAAGAGTAAAAAAGAATAAAATGCAGCCATCACACTGAAGAAATGATAAGCTGCAATATATTAAAATGTATTTTGGGGGGTTTAATATCACTTTAACATTACACAGAAGGGGAAAGCCAAGAGTTATCAAGTACAAAGGTTCTCCCTCCTGAGCACTGACCTGAAAAAACTCACAAAAACTGGATTGACTCCTCCCCTACATCACCATAATGAACCTCAACCAAGCCTCCTTCCCCCATTTTAGAGGCCCATGACAAGGTCATTAAACTACGTAATTCACACAGCTACCAACCTCTGCTATCCCATGCATCTTGCTGTCCGCGGACATCAAAAAAGCCTTTAATGGGTTCAATTGGCAATTCACGGGAGTGACTCTAAAACATATTAGCATGCGAAATAACTTTATTGTATGGATTAGTGCAATCTACTCCATCCCTTCTCTCTCTGTCTATGGTGTCTTCTCCGAGTCCTTCATGATTTCAAACAGCAGTCAAGAGGGCTTTGCCCAATTTCCCTTCCTATTCTCATAGACTCACTTGAGCCCTTCTAGTACTAAGTACAGAGCAATTCAAATATAAAATGCCCACAAGTAGGAGATCATCATTACAAAATCTCTGCCTATGCAGATGATCTTTCTTCCTTCTTAAGATCAGAACTTCCAAAAATCAGAAGCAATGAGCATCGCAATGACTTCTCAGCAAACTCAAAACTAACTTCTAATTAATATGGGCAAACATGACACTTAAATACTTATGTACTACTTATTCTAATTTGAAGAACATCATTACTTTGAATTTTCTATCTGTCCTTCAGAAAAGAGGATTCCTACTCCAGAAGTTCTATTTTCTTGGTTGGCCAGTGCAACACTTCTAAAATTCCTAACCTATTAAAACTCCTGTACTTGCTCTCCATCTTACCCATACATTCTCCTTCCTTACTTCAGGTCAGTCAATTCCTTGTTAAAGTGGAGTTCCAGCTGAAAAAAAAATAGAAATCAGCAGCTACAAAAACTAGGCAATCGCAACGGAAGTGGGAGCGGGTACCTGTCAAATTCCCCCAAAAGGTACCAATCCTTAATGGGGAAAGGGGGAAAAAGCATTAAAGCATAACTTCCCCTTTTGGGTGGAGCTCCACTTTAAGTTCTTGTGGGCGATCACACAACCTCTGCCTCAAAGCCATCTCCTCTGTCTCCCCAAAGCACATGGAAGCCGTGCCTAACATGACACACTCATACCACACAGCTTGCCATCTGGTCAGACTGATTGATTTATCTAGGCACAGACACCAAACAATAGGTCATACTCAAGCAAATCCCCTTACATTACCCCCAGTGTAGAATACCCTGGTGCCACCCATATACACTCACGTATCTGAAAACATACCCAACAACTGGACCCTCTTTTTGGACCTGTGCTCAGGCCTTCCAGAAATATATCAGATGTGGTCTGAAATAAGATTTCCCTGTTTTTACTACAGAGAAAGAGGAGTTACATTCCTGGGATTCCTTGCATCTAAACTGAGACATTCTACTTGATAGAATCTCCAAACTGATAAAGTACCTAATTTTCCATTATAGTTTGTATCTGTTGTCATCTGGATTGCGAGGACTGCTGTATGTGAGCAACTGCAATTTGCTTTTCCTTAGTGCACACTGCAATCTGCCAAATCATTGGTATTAGTTCATCTGGAGAGAGCAGTGGATGTTATTTGAGAAACAAGTTGAGAGCGAGGCTACACTGCTCTATGCATACCGAGAAGAGTCAGACTCAGCTGTGTTCTGTGAAAAAGGATTTCCCTGCTTTTACTACTACATATCTTTTATAGAATTCTTGGGTTTCCTTGCATCTAGACTGAGACATTCTACTTGTTACAATTGCTAATCT